TTTGTTTGCAATATTTTCGATTTTATGCAATATTCACCCATTTCATCACGAAGAATATATTTCGAAATGTATGCAACCTAGATATTTTGAAGAAGGTACTGGCAGAATTAAATGTATGTACATTAGGGTGGTCCAAAGTAAGTAAAGTCGGAATTTCAATGCTCTCACTTCCTAGGATTGTCCTATTCGAAAAAAAGTTACCCCTATTTTTTATTTTGAAATAAAGCTGAAAGCGTTCAAATTTCTCAATGTATTTTATATGGAAAAAAACTAATTTTCGTAGAAATGGTATGGGATTCTTGAAACTCAATATTTTTCGATCGGAAACCTCTGGTTCTCTTCAGGAGACTTCCTATTATTATTTAATAATTTTTTAATACTAAAGATTTTTTATTTATCCCCCATTGCATATTCTAACATTTTCTGGGGACATTTAAAATATAGTTACTATTTAAAAATGGTTAAATTCATGATTGGTTATTATTTTTGGGAGTCTTCTGAAGAGAAGCAGGGTTTTTCGATAGGAAAATATTGATTTTCAAGAATTCTATACCATTTCTACGAAAAGTGGTTTTTTCCCCATATAAAATACACAAAAAACTTTGAGCGCTTTGAGCGACCTCTAAATAGAGGTACGTTTTTTCGGCATAGAATAATCCTAGTGGGTGAGAGCATAAAAATTCCGACTTTACTTTTTCTCATTTGGACCACCCAAATGTACATACATACAACGTGCATACATTTATAGAGAAAGTGCCTAAACGTATACGTAACCTAGCGCTCGAGGCTAGAAAAGCAGCTGCCGTATCAGAAACTTTAATAATGAAACTCGTTTGCAGTTAACAATAACAAAAAGCGGCAATAATAGCAAACTTGAAAATCCGAAACCGAAACTGGCAAGTAAACTTTGCATTGCAATTTCTTAGCTTTCGCAGGTGAATAACTATGCCATTCGAGGCAAACGCTGGCACGCAGTGAACCGCAATTTTTACGTTGCTTTGCATAAATACATTTTAGATCTTCAAGGCTAGCAAAGTTCATTCGTTCATGAATTATTATTAAACTTTTTGTTTGTTATTTCCTCAATCAATTTAAGAAGAATTTAAAAGCAAAATCTTTGAATATAGTAACGACGATGTATTCTTGAATTCATTCTGCTTAATGTAAACCCTTTTAAGCACTTCATGTTTTCTGGACCAGATGAAATTATTCCTGTTCTAATTCAAATTACCCATCTCCCTTCGGCCGATGATATTCAACTCGCGTTCTCTGGTATGGGCAAATATTTGGTCGTAATTCAGAACAGGAAAATATACTGGAAGTCGAGGTGTGCACGGCCCTGGATATAGCAATAAGTAGTTTTATTGAATACTTCCTCGACATCCAGTAAGGCCCAAAAAAGTCTCCTTAGTTTCGAAAGCACTTTAAATCTTACGATACCTAAATATATCTAATAGAAGAATCTTTGCATTTTTTAATAATTTATCTATCTGTTCAAATATTTGATATTTTTGGCGGGCCTTGTTATCTTATTTAAATAGTGATATTTTTGTTTTTTCTGTAGCATTCAAATCTTTATTCGTTGCCGAACCTAAGTTAACTCGCCACTGTGAAAACAGTATGCGATCACACCCTGACTAGTAGAACTTTAAACTAAATATCTTAATTGAATGACCTTCATTTTGTTTGTTAGGACTTTTTTTAACAAAAGGTGTACTCAAAGTTCTTACTCAGCAATGTACGAGTGCATTTGTAGAACAGCGCAGTTTTGAAAATTAAGCAATAATATTGCACAAAAACTGCAGTCAAAGTCAACAGCAAAGGTATGGCATTAACTGTTGAAAAACTGTCGGACTAAATACAACCGTCAGCTGCACTAAGAGCAAACGTGTGAGGAGAGTATCGAACGAAACACATACATACGCACCCAAATACTTACATATGTATATGAACAGTGTATTTTCTTTCAAACCCATGCATGTTTACGTACACATATTGCGTGTACATATTTAATGTGAGCATGTATAACACGCGACGACAGCGACGATGATACTTGAGAAACTTTTAATCTTTACAACTTTTTAATTACTTTTTCAAGAAGTTTGAGGTACTTTAAATTGTTTAAAAAATGTTGGTGGGGTAGTCAGAAATAGAATGTGAAATAAATCAAAGACACAAAATAGTAGAAGCAATACAACAAAGAGCAAATAGCAAAAGCAAAAAATCAAATCAACCAAAAACTTAAAATTTAGAAGAAAATCAAAAGAATTGCAAACACCAAAGCCAATCTACTGTTGCTTGCGTGCGTAGAAAAGTTTGGCGCACTACCAGACGCATATCACACACTAGAGTTGCCATGTTGAATTTTAGGTATTTTTGGATAGTTTTTATTTGAATTATTGTACCACACCCAAATAATATCTCATTGCATTAAACGAGCAATTCTTGTATATATACAGTGGCGGTCAAAAATGAATGAATTTGTTTCCTTTTTAATATTTGCAATGTTTTTCAAGCTAAATTTTTTTTGATATTTTTTTATAAAAAAGATATTTCTAAACTAAAGATTTCTCAAATACATTCTTTTGATGCCCATATTGTAGTATTTAGCTTATCATAACCATTTAACTGAATTTAATTTTTCAAATAGGTGGCAACATTCTTCGAAAATATTTTCGAAAGTAAATATTTCATTTATTTAATAAATTTAAATGAGTACAATTTTTCAAACAGGTAGAAACTCTCCTTAATAATATTACCAGCAGTAAGTGTTCGTAAACCTCTTTGGTTTGATATGCATATTGCGATATTTAGCTTAACTTATCAATTAAATTAAATTACAATTTTCAAACAGGTGACATATTTCCACAAAAATATTTACGGCTGTAAGCCTTCATACGCCTCTTTCTTTTGACAGCCATATTGCAATATTTACTTTATCTTACCAATTTACTTAACATGATGTTTTCAAACAAGTGGTAACTCTGTAATTTTCTCTTTTTCTATAATTTTAGTTAGACATCTAACAATACATCGGTGAGAACTACATTCAATTCCATCCATTAGTTTTTGAGTTTGATGAAACCGGCAGATACACAAAAATTCTAAAAATGGTTGATTTAGCTTCTGTAGATCTAATAAAGATTCCCCATATACATTTTTATTTATCCATGCAAGGAATGCATACACTGTCCAAATATTCGTTTAGAGTGTTAAGCCCTTTATTAAGAATAAGCTTCACTATCTTCACTGGAATCTGCCACTTCTGTACTGGCAAAAGTGAGTTCTCATAAGGACGACTTGCTTTTGCGCGTAAAAAGTTAGCCACATCAAACTCAACTAGTTTAAAGCTGTTATTTTCCAAAACTTCTTCATTGATTTTATTAAATATTAAATATTAATATTTAGTAGTTTAAATTTAAATTTTTTTTTTCTTTGCAGTAGCGGTGGCCAAAGGTAGTTTAAGAGTTCAAATGAAATTTGAAAAACGTAAGCTGAAAAAGGGTTGTCAAACACATATGTGGCATGCCGAAAATTGCGGTTCTCGTAGGCATGGGCATGCCAACCAAATGCAAAACAGAATAAGAAAAAATTTCACGTTTAGACGAAGCCGTAGAAATGTTGTAAAATCACTGCCAAAATACTAGAGACTTTAGGGGACATAAAAAGCAAAGCTCAGCGACACAACAGCCGCACAGAAACAATCCACAAGCAAAATGAAGCCTGGAAGTTTTCAAAGTTTCTGTTGACGACAGAGAAATGGCATTTGATGACTGGTTGCTTGCCAGAAAATGAAACTAATCGGCAGACAAGCACGAGAACATCTATAGTAACGGAAGTATTAACAATAATACTAGACTGGCGCTTACACAAGGCCTGTTAGTATTTGGCCGAGCTTCTCCTCCGATTTGTGGCGTGCGCCTTGGTGTTGTCACATAAAGAGGAGGGATTATATTTTTATGAGAAGGTGTTCCTGATGACAGAAATGCACTGGTGGGTTTGCTACTGCCTGCCAAGGGGCGACCGCTGTTAAGAGACAACCTTTTTTCTAAATTTTTTTGCGATGTTGCTTTGACCAGGGCTTGAACCCAGGCCCTGCTAAGTGGAAGCGCGCACTGCTTATCACAGCGGTGTTAGCGAAAGGAAAAATACGAACAGCCTCCACAACACTTGTCAACGCAAGAGAAGCAAAGCAACGGCTGTAGCTCCAATAACCAGCAGGATAGCATTAAGCCGCATTAAAACACACTGCTGGCGCCTTCCACGGAACAGACACTGCCACAGGCATTGCATGCATCGAGAAGCCGCAGAAAAAAAACAGCTGATGGAAAGTAAAGCAATCACGCTGTTGGTTGTACGATGCTTCTGGGGAAAGTGCTGCTGGTCAACAACAAGCAATCCAGCCACAAAATAACAACAAAACTAACGCGCGACAATAGTAAAAATGAAAGAAGAGTGAGAAAGAGCAAAGGCATCAAATCACAGTCCTTTGGCAATTCGAGCACATTGAAATTGAAATTGACTAGCGGCAGTAAAATATCTCTCTTTGACGTTGTTATTGTTGTTTGTTTCTACAGTCACTGAACTCAGTTATATTAGGCCGCCAGGTCCTGTCGTTTTTCCTTTTTTTTTATCATCACATCAAGCTGCTAACACTTTCACACCTACGATAAGCAAATAGAGCAAGTAAATTGAAAAATAAGTAAACAAAAAGGCAAGCAAACTGGTCAACCTGTACGAGAAACAAAACCAAATATGGAGAAAAGGCTACGAAACATCGTTAAATCGTTATATTCAGTGAGCAGCTGCCACCAGTAGCACGTTTTTTCTATTCTCTCTAAAGTGGCTCAGCCTCCGATTCATCATTTCAAAAGTTACCGTTAGCAGAATTACAAATCAAGAAGCCCGCTTTCAAAAGCAATTCCTATCAGCGAGATAATATCAAAATTTTGGTTGAACGTTTGGTAAGCGCTGGTCAGCTGGTTCCTACTGCTTAGCGACGGCTATCTGAATGTTTTCGTTAGTCATCGCGAAGTCATCAAATTAATGGGTGAGTAAAATTCTCAAATCTAAAATATGTTGGTATGTATGTATGTACTTGTATATGATCAAATACCATTCAGTCAAAGTAGATTATTGAATTATTGAAATGGAAAATCAAATTTCACACACAAATCATAAAAGTTAAAGCAATGTGTACAGTAGTGGGGGTTAAAAAATGTTGAGTGTGCAAATTTGCATTTTTGAGTTAGTTATGCGCAGTGAACCATAAATGTGGCCCTCTTGATCTGCGTGCGTGCATACCCGCTCTTAATTTATTTTATTGTTGTTAGTGCTCGTCTATATACTACGCTTCTGCAGTTTTGTTAAAGATAAAATATTCATTTATTCATTTCAAAAGCAGATAGAAAATTTTGTATTTTATTCAGCAAAATTGATATTTGTCAACGGGGCGTATACGCAATATATTTTGACTTGACTTATTTTTAATCCATAAAATTTTGATACGGTTTCACATAAAATAATTTATATTTTAAGAACGAAAGGGAAATAATGTAAACGGCATTGTATTATGATTACTAAATAAGTAGTATAAAACAAAAAAAAAAAGCTCCTAAAAAGCAGTTTTCTCCAAAAACAAAAAAATACCAAAAAACCTTGTAATTCCCCAATTTCTGTAGGAATTCCCAATACAAAGATTTAGGAGAATATCTGCATCTGTATATTAACAGGCTAATATAAATTTTGTTCGAGTTCATTTGGCGGTTCTACTGGACCGAGTTTGAAACCAAAAGCACTATTCGAAAGACGTGTTGGTGTAGATTATGATTATGACGATTATGAAGACACAAACGAACACGAGGACGAATACGAAAACCAAGACAAATATGAATACGAATGCGAAGACTAAAACGAAAAGACGACGAAAACGAATACAGATACGAAAACCAAGACGAACATAAATATGAAAACGGAGACAAATACAGGGAAGATTTCGACTACGGATACAAGCAAAGGTTGCCAACTTAGTGCTTTAAGCACTAGATTTAGTGCTTTTTGAAAATTAAAACGCCAAAAAAAAATGGTTTAGTGCCTAGTGCCCTTTTTAGTGCTTTTTTTGAACAAAAGTTTCTGAATTTACAAGAATCTACAAATTTAAACGCACTAAAATGCAAACCATGATTGATAAAAATATGAAGTTGCAAACCCACGTTCTTGCGTTCTTGTAAAATTGTATTCGCGTTGAAAATGCTAGCACGCAGATAAGTTAAGTTTTTATTTTTTTATTTTCTTGATTATTGATTGATTACACAGTTCGAAAAACTTTATCTCTTTTTGCCAGCAGAGTGCATCGGTTTTTGTAGATTTTTCGGTGCTGAATCCAAAACTGGCTGCAGAATTTCTCTACCACGTCAGAATTTTGAGATATCCTAACCTCTAAGTGATACTTAGGGTATCATTAAGTATTACTCTTCCCCTTTAAAATTCAATTTCGTTTGTTGTGATTCGATTGTTTTTTCTCCAGATGTACCAGTTTTAATGTGTACTTCGGTATTACTTCGTAAGCATGAATGGGTATTTATTTATACATGTAAATAGTGTTTATTTTTTCCTTTTGTTTACCACAAACTGTTATGAAAAAAAGAGTATCCTTTGATTAAAAAAGAAATTTAGTGCTTTTAGTACGGTAAAACGCTCTTTTTTCCAAGGTTTGGTGCTTTTTGAAACTCAAAAGTTGGCAACACTGGATACAAGTACGAAGATAAATAGGAAGACGACTACGAAGCCAAATGCGAAGGTCAATACGAATACGAAGACGAATGCAAAAACGAATACCAATCGAGGACAAAAACTAATATTAGGACGAAATACGAAGACAAATGCGAAGAGTAATATGAGTAGTGGTACTAAGACGAATAAGAAAACGAAAACGAATGTGAAGAAGCATACTAAGGCTAAGGATATATTAAGAAAAAGTTAAAGCCTTTATCAAACGATGGTCCAAAGACTTGAGTGATCTTTTATTGCCTTTTGTTTATTCGCATTTTGGTTGTTTGTGTTTCCGACAGGATAAGAGTATGTTGTATTGTAAAACCATTTTCTCTTTTGTTTATCTCTTAGCTCCACTGTGACAGAATAAAATCCGTGAAGAAGCAATTCTTGCTGATCTCTTTGAGAAATTTACCATGGGACCAAACAAAACCGTTTCCCTTCAATAAATAAGAGCCAGTTGAAGCTCTTAACGATTCAAAGTCGTAGGAAGAGGCTTAGTGTGTTAGGCATGTCTAAGCTAGTGCTTAAATGCTTATGCGCATGGTTCAATAATACAAGGTTAGATAATTATTGACAGCAGCGGTTTGACACTCCCTTACAAAAGGTTGCATTTATGAAGGACAAAGAAAGGGGAAGAATGAAATCTCTTGCTGCGAAAATGGTAGTAGAAAAGTACGCAAAGTAGGCAGTTAGTAGTGAAACTCTTTTTGTAAATTCTAATGTATTTGCAGAAAATTTGGCAATATGGAAATATGGAACGTAATATTGATATATCTACGTAAATTATGCAATTTATGTGCTATTTAGCTGTATAAAAACTGCAAAAGAACTCAAAATTAAAATAAAACTACTATGGGATTTATATAAACATACAATTTAAAAATAATTTATGTTTTCATCAGTTAAATATGCTTCATATGCATATACAAATAAATAAATTTTGCCAAAAGCTTATACTTGTATTTCACTCCAAAGCACCAAAGCGGTGCGAGAGAGACAACTGTCAGTTTATCGAACCTTGTATTATTGAATCATGGCTTATGCGATGACTTTGACAGATATTCAAACCAGATTGTGACCTCAGACTTGCTTTTTCGTATCAAATAAAAAAATTAGCTGAATTAAACACATAGTAGATTACTTTTTGCGCAGCTGGTAAGCTAAATTAGTGTATAAAACAAGTGTTTAATACCCAGTTCGATACTCATATATTTCAAAAACTTTATAGTTATGTATTTATTTATTTTTAAAAATTTTCAATTAAAATGCAGTTCATTCTACAAAAAAAACTTTATAGAAAACTAAAATAAAAAAAAACAAATTTTCATCCAAATTTCATAGTATTTGGATATAATGGAATCGTTGTGGAAAAATTGCGCGTAAACGGATAAGCTAACTTTTTGAGCTTTTTATTTATAAAATGCCACAATTCTCTTTCGGTCTCCATAAAATATGTATGTATTTATATTTGTATTCCACCAAAAAAAATTGATTATTCGCCAAAATTACCACTGACACACTTTCTCGCCTACATATTGACTGATTAATAGTGCTTGCACACACCAAAGCATTTCTATTCCGGTTGGCATACAAAGCCAGAAAAATGTAAAAAAAAAAAAACAACAAACCAAATGGCGAACTTTGAAAGTGAAAAACACTTGAAATACATACAGTGACGAACAAAACTATTGGCACAGTGAATTTTTCGCCATATATGCAAAGTTTTTTATTCTAATTTATTTTCGATAATTTTTTATAAAAATGTAGTTCATTCTACACCAGAAAACATAATAATAAAATCTCTAAACTTTGTGCAAAACTCAGGAAAATTCATTAAATTTGCACACTAATTTGCAACTTTTTATTCAGATTTTTTAGAAAAATTCTAAGTATGCAGTTTTATTGCCCATTCAAATTTAGTATAACAAAGTGCAAGTTTAAAGTTGCTAGAAAATCGCGTTATTTTTTGGCAATTTTTTTAGTGGAAGGGGTTGCTCATTTTCTCCATACAAAAAATGATTGTCGAATTACTTTGTATGGAAGAACTTGCGTGAAAAAAAATTACCAAAAATCAATGCGATTTTCTAGCGACTTCAAACTTGCACTTTGCAATTTGAATGGGCCTTAAAACTGCATACCTAGAACTTTTCTAAAAAATCAGAGTAAAGAGTTGCAAATTAGTGTGCAAATTTAATGAATTTTCCTGAGTTTTGCACAAAGTTTAGCGATTTTATTATTATGTTTTCTGGTGTAGAATGAACAATATTTTTATAAAAAATTATCAAAAAAAAATTAGAATAAAGAACTTTGCATATATTGCGGAAAATTCACTGTGCCAATATTTCTGTTCGGCACTGTAAATAAATTGCAGCAAAGTGAAAGTTAAACCAATACAGGCAAGCCAAAAGCTGAAGCGGTTGACAATCAGGAAACGGTTGAACGCAACGGGAACTGCTTTGCCAAGCGAAATGTGAAAATGGTGAAAATAATAGATTACCAGATTAAAAGCGTACTGGAAGCGAAGGAGTGGGCGCACAAAAACACAAACAGAATAAATATATAATGTGCAATTATATACATAAATAACTATGAAAGTTTTCTAGTGGCTTTCGAAGGTATTTACAGACGTATGTATTTATAAGAGATACTGCGAGTGTACTATGGTAAATAGTCCGCGAACGATATACTAAATGGAGCTGAACTTCACAAAATTGTTTGTTAAATTTTCGATAAGTATTTATCAACAACAAATAAAAAGAACTCGATGAACAAGCATACTGGCTGCAAAAATGTGCTTGAACAAAAACTTTCCACGCTTTCGCTAGAACCGTTGTAGTGCTAAACGCTATAGGGTGAGAGGCGTGGCGTCTACAATCGCAACGCCACCATTCACAGCTCGCAGCTTTTCCTCTTTTAATGGATTATCAATTTATTAGTAAAATACTAGTGCTTCCTTGAGGCGCTTTGACAGACGCAATGCATCATTTACCAAAACGCAATCCCACTGATTGGACCGAAGTAAGCGTTTAAATTAGCGTGTTGGTAACTTCTAGCCGGCGGCTGGTAGCGCAACGCTTAAGCTGATGCCACGACCTTGCCGTTGAGCGATTGCCGCTTACATACATGCATGCATACATATTTATTTAGAAAGAACACCCGCTCCAACAAAAGAAAGCAGTCACTGACGCATTCGCTTTGTAATTGATTAATGATTCTTTCCGCGTACCTTATGCCCTTTCCATCATTTATCCACTTACCACAAAGCATTGATTTTGT